GCAGTACCCTCTTCGCAGCATCCATGTGCACCGGTCGGTGCCGACCAGGAGCCACGTAGCGAGCCAGAAGGCCAAGAGGGTACGCAAGGTCAGATCGAGTGCAGGTCATCAGGTACATGAGGCAGCCCACTAGCTCTGGGTACGGGCCACTCGGCTCTACGGACTCGTCCGAAGGTGGAGCTCAGAGCGAGTGGCATGTAGCCAGAGGAGTGTGCTGTGGCGAGGACCAGGTGAAGCCGAAGCGCTGAAGGACCTGCTGCACCATGTGTGACTGAGTCAGTGTGATGGTGCGGCGTGCTCTGTCCCGGGTGATCTGCAAGCCAAGGTAGCTGCGCAGTTCACCCAGGTCTGTACACGTGTGTCTCTTCTGCAGCTCCGACTTCACCAGGGCGAGAGCCTCAGTGTCAGCAGTGGCAAAGACCAAGTCGTCGACGTACACGAGGATGTAGAACGGCGGCAGCGAAGTGTCGGTGCGTAGAAACAGCGACGGGTCAGCAGTCGACGGAGCAAACCCAAGAGCCGCAAGTGTAGTCCTCAGTGTGTCGTGCCACTCACGTGGTGCCTGGCGGAGACCGTAGACTAGCCGCCGGAGGCTCTACTGGGTACCAGGAGGGAACGACCCAGTGAAGCCAGGAGGGCGATGCAGCCAGATCTCCTCGTGCAGGCTGCCCTGTAAGAAGGCTGTGCTGAAGTCAAGAGAGTGAAGCTCGTAGTCACGCTGAGCGGCAACGTGCAGCAGCACCCGAAGAGTGGTCATCTTTGGGGTGGGGGAGAAGGTCTGAAAGAAGTCTACTCCCTCTCGCTGACTGAAACCTGGAGCAACGTAACGAGCCTTGAAGACAGGCGGAGAACCTGGCGGCCGTTTCACCCTGAAAATCCACATGCCACTGACGATGTTCGCCCCAGGAGGGGGAACCTCGTCAATGTAAGTGCCTGTGGACTTCTAGGATGCCATCTCTGCGTCCATGGCTGTCTGCCACTGAGAGGAGTACTCACCCGCGATCGCGTCAGTGTAAGAGCGCGGGGTCGGGATGTCTGGTGCATCCGGGTCTCCCTCAAGGGCAAGCAGCATGGACACGAGATGAGGCGCAGCGGCTGCAAGACACTCAAGGTCCTCCTGCCTGTCCTCAAGGACGTCCGTGCCAAGAGCACACTCACCCTCGACGGACGGAGGACAGACAGACTCAGACTCAGCAACAAGACTAGCGGCGTAGTCTAGACGACAGGCAGCAGCAAAGTCAACAAGCTGAGTGACTAGGGCAGACGCAGCAGCAGACTCAAACGACGGGTCAGTGACAACTGTGGCTAGCAGACGCGTGACAGTAGGGTGAGCAGCACGGGTGCGGTCAGACTCAGGCTCAAGAACGGTAGGCAGAGATGACGAAGGAGGGGACGGCGGGGGAACACGCAGCGGAGGAGAGGAAGGACGACGGATGACGAGGTGGGTGCCGGTGACAGCCGGCTGACGCGAACGAGGAATACGACGACCAGAACGGACAGGCGAGATGTCATGCATTTAATTGAAGAATAGGGCTTATGACATAGCAATATAAAAGCATGACAGGGTACTGTACTGAGTAGGATTAAAGCGAGGTAGGCCAGAGGCGAATAGCGCCAGAGCGGGAAACTAAGTCGAACTGGCGAAACCAAACCAACCATTGCAGAGCAACAGTAACCAAGTGCACGTACTTAGGCAAGCAACACGAGAAGCATCAGTTGCTTGCTTGTATGTTTCCTCTATTAGCAAGGAGCTACCTAAGACACTACTCGTACTGCGCCAAGTGGAGGAACCAATCGCAGCAAGCCTTTTAAGGGTTTTCACTCAGTGCCGTCCAGCAGCCAGCCGAGTTAGGTAGGCCTGGAGAGAGTCAACGTGCTAGGAATACACAACATACAAGCAGGGACTGCGACCTGTCGCCATTTCTCGAGCTAGAATGAACGACAGATTTAGACTAAGATCTGGCCAGAGCTATCGACGAGAAGATATTTCCGCTGAACCAAGCTGGCGCGCTGCCGCGGCGACCTCTTCGGACCGAGTGCCAGCGGTGGAGACAGGGCGCTCGCCAGCTTCGACTACAGGAGTGTACCGGACCCCGCACCAACGAGAGCGGGGGCGGCGCGAAGACATGGAGCCTTCTCGAACTGTCGCGTCAGATCTAGGAGAGACGCCTCACGACTTGCGCTGGGCTCGGGAAGCGAGAGCGCGGTGGGAGAGCCGCCCAGCTACTAACTCCCCTGGGTTGATGCCTGGGATGGAATCCGACCGAGCGCATGCACCTACGACTTGGCTGCGTCGCCAGACGGAGGGAGAGTTCCGGACGCCGATGCATCGAGAGATTATAGCGAGTCAGGCTGCGGAGCTACCCTCGGCAGCCGCCCCACCAGACCGGCCTACCGACAAGAGATGGCAGACGGGGTCCCTTCCGAAGCTTGAGGTAGCCGAGCGGTTCACCGGAATTCCCGGCGTGGGTCCCACCCTGAAGAACTATCTGATGCAGTTGGAGACGGTGCAGTACTGTTGGGAACGGGACGGGCTGGACCCGGCAGAGTTCTTCCGGCGGATGGTGGTAACGTTGGCGGGTGAAGCGGAGACCTTTTACCGCATGACGCGGGACGAAGTGCTCGAGGAGCTGGCTTGTGGAGAGGTTGAAAACCCGACAGCGCGGTTTGTCGAGCTGCTGAAGAAGGAATTTCTGGGGCAAACTAAAGCGAGAGTGGAGGAATTCCGCGAGTTCCGCCGAGGAAAAGACGAGTCCCTGCTAGCCTACTACTGCCGACTGAGGGAGCTTGCGGACGATTTGGAGAGCCGTGATGAACGGCTACTGGTTCGCAAGTTCGTCCGAGGCTTAGACGAAGATCTGCGGAATGTGGTGCGAAACACGGTGTATGGCGTGGGTGCAGATATTACTCCGAAGGAAGTATACGGATTGGCTAAACGGACGGAGCACGCGCAGAGGATGTTGGACCTGGAAGACGGGGAAGTGCGTCCCAAAGCGAAGTCGTCGTGGGCGGCGGCTGCTCTGGTGGAGGCGCCTCTCGGTGGACCACCGCGGGCGGACGCACGGCGGTGTCACGAATGTGGGGAAGTGGGCCATTTGAAACGCGATTGCCCTAAGCTGCCAGTGTGTGGAAACTGCGGACGGAAAGGGCACAAGGACGACGCATGATATGGCCGGCGCCGCTCCGAGGAGACCCCCAGCAAAGAAGAGCTACAGGCGGAGATTAAAAGGTTACAACTGCGATTGGAGGCGAAGCCTAAAGTGGAGCCGAAAGCCCGAGCTATGCTTGCGTACGAGGAGGTCGAAGGGGAGGAAGAAAGCGAAGGCGAGTATCTGCGGGCAAGCGGCTTTATGGCGTTCTTACGGGAGAGAGAGGACCTCGACCTCCGGCTCCGAGGGAGCCAGTCGTCCGAAAGTCGCACGAGCAGAGTGAGAGAGCCACGAGGCAACGTGCATGAGGGGAGTAGTACCTCCGAACTGAGGCGCCACCCCAACGAGAGACTCGTGTGCCAGGCGTCCGTCTTGATAGCCGAAAAGGGGAGCATGACGGTGGGTGGGCTGCCAGTGGGGCAAGCGATCATTGACACCGGTGCTCACCACGTGTTGATCGGGAAGGGACTGGCGCGGCAACTGAAGCTGGACACGCCTGGGAGGCTCGTGCAGAGGGGTATCCTACTCATGACCGCCGAGGGAGGGGAGCCAAAATGGATGCCGCGGACGGTACGGCCCATCGAGATTGTACTGCTCCCCGGCACGGACAAAGAATGTTGCATCCGCGTGACGTGTGGCGTGTCAGAGTCCAAAGATTATGATACGCTGGTCGGCATGGATCTGCTTTACCGGGTTGGCGCCACCATTTGTACCTGGCAGAAGAAGGTGCTGTACCGCGTGCACTACTGGGACGCAGAAATTTCCGTGGGTACTCTGCCTGTGAAGTTCGTTAAGCAAGAGCCACGGGAGGCCTACGGGGCTCGGGCAGCAGACCTGGGACCAGTGCTGGACGACTGGAGCTGGGAGAGATACGCGGAGGAGTACGAACGGCGAATAGAAAGGAGGAGGCAGGGGCGAGAACCGACCTCGCTGAAAGAAAGAGTGACCGGGCTCTGGACCTTGGAAGGAGCGGTGTG